AAATTGACCAGGACCGCCCTGAACGAGTGGCCTGGGTGAGAGGTGAACGGAGTGAAGTGTCTGCCTGCAAGTCTGCTGTCTGCAATGTTATCGCAAACCTGCTTCAGCAGGAGATGCGACCGCCAGTGCAAACCTTCACAAGACGTACACAGCCTGCTGAGGGGCAGGCAGCAGAAAAGCGAAAGAGAGACGCCACCACGAGCGCTCCCCAGAGGAAGCAGTTAACAGACCCATGTGTGACAGACGTGACACACTGTACAACATGCCACGGTGTACACACACACGAGCTCCAGTGGGGTTCCTGCATCTCATGAACACAGATGTGTGACAGACACATGTACACACGACACCTTGATGCATGCATGTATTCCAGTGGGGTTCGCCCATCTTACGAGCATACACATGTGACAGACACACAATACATGTGCCCAAGATGCCACGATGCACACGTGCTCCAGTGGGGTTCCCGCATCTCATAAACACAAACATATGTGACAGACACATAACACATGTGCACAAGATGCCACAACACACTCATGTGCCCCGGTGGGGTTCCTGCATCTCATGAGCATGGACATGTGTGACAGACACATGACACATGTGCACAGGACACCAGGATGCATTCACGTGCCCCAGCGGGAGTTCCCTATCTCACGAGCATGGATACGTGTGCGACAGACACGACACACATGCACAAGATGTCACGATGCATACATGTGCTTCAGTGGGGTTCCCCACATCTCGTGAACATGGACACGTGTGACACAAACACACAACACGCACATAAGACACCATGAGGCATGCACGCACACTCGCCCCAGTGGGGTTCCCCTCACCTCATCAACTCTTCCCTGGGACATAATCCTAGGTCCTCCCAACACCCACCTGCCCATGTGGTGGCTGTATATACCTACCCCCCTCGTGGATCCACATCTTGAGCTGTGGTTTTCACAAATACCACAGCAGGCATCTCTGTGCCACACTGCTCGACCACCCCTGCTGGCTTGCTTTGACTGTATTCTTAGACTAACTCTGGTTACGCAACTCCACCCACAGTGGAGGGATGCAGCCGGGCTGCACTGAGCTGGTTCAGAGTCTGCGCTTGGTGGGAAGGAATGAAGCTCTGGGTCCATGTGCAGCTCTGTCCCTACCAGGGAAGGGAGACACCTCCACACATACAGACACATATGGGAGATACTTCCATACATACACACATGTATGGAAGCCACTTCCATATACACACACACACACGTATGGGAAATACTTCCATACACATACACATACACACATACGGGAGATACTTCCGTACATACACATGCACACATGTATGGGAAACACTTCTATACATATACATACATGCACACACATGGGAAACACTTCCATACACACATGCACACGTATGGAAGACACTTCTGTATGTACATACACACACACAGATGGGAGACACTTCCATATATACACACATGCAGACATATAGGAAACACTTCCATAACTACATACACACACATACTGCAGACATTTCCATACACATACACACACACACGTACGGGAGACACTTCCATACATTCATGCACACGTATGGGAGACACTTCCATATATATATACACACACACATGCACACGTATGGGAAACACTTCCATGCCTACATATGTACACACGTATGTATATGCTGGCCGTTTGCATGCCTCTCTGGCGATGTTTCGCCTTTGTCCTCTCCACGGGGGATTAGTGGGTTCCAGAGACAACTCTTCAGTGTGTGCGGACCCAGCCCTCACTTGCACTCACACCCTCACGAGGAGACATGTGGCCCTCCGTGTGCACAGTGAGCTGTTTCTCTTGGTGATTTTTTTAAAAGAATTGCCTTTGATGTTCCCTCTGACTGGGACAGTTACATGCTGAGTTGCAGGAACAGAGGAAGAAGCCACCGTGCACATCCAGGCCTGGGTTCTGGCTTACCAGAGTGCACCTCAAAACACGCTCACATCTTCAGACGCCACACAATCAACAGCCCTGAGACGAGCCTGGCTCCATGAGCTCCTGGTTGGCATCGGCCCATGGGGGCTGCCTGAGCCACAGTGGCATTGCTCTGCCTGCCTGCAGCTGGCTCCTCTCCCAGCCCCTCCTTAACCTCCCCAGGGCCCAGCCCACTGGTGGCGCCCACTGTGGGTACACCCTGGACAAGGAACACAGAGACCGTGGGATTATGTGGTACAGAGGGGACTCCATGGAGGCCTCGGGAGCCCCATGCACCTGGTGAGGGGCCCCATGTCTGGTTCCAGCTCTGGGTTTGCCTGGGGTTGGGCTGACATGGAGGGTCCTGGCCCATAGAACCAAGACTGACTGCCTCTCAACAGCTGCAGGACTGCATCCAATGAGCGTGGAACTTGCAGGTGGGTATGAAGTCACTTTTTAGATTCAAGAGCCACCGGGGAGCGGTTTGGGGTGGGAGGGTAGTTTGGGGTGGGGGGGGGTAGGATGCCTGAAAACAGCAGTCAGTGTGACACGAAGACCATGGCCTACAGCAAGGGGACAGTGCGCTCCAAGCCCTCCACCGCGTGGCAGGGACACCACACTGACACCCCCACATCGGGAAACCCACTCAGAGCCTGCAGGCACTGCATGGTTCAAACCGATAGGCCCTGGGGCAGGAGCATAACTCAGTCCATCTTTACCGACCAGCCTAAGCCGCCCCCATCAGCTGAACCTGCAACCCCGAGGCCAGCCACAAGCTGGCTGGATACGGCATGGGCAGGGCTGAGGGCACTGCACCTCCACACGGGCCCCCTCCTAGTGGAAGTGGGATGACAGACATGTCCAGAGCCCTGCCCAGTGGAGATGCCTGCAGGACAAGAGGGCAGGGCAAGGGGACAGGGAGGATACACGTGCGTTCTCAGTCAGCCCCTGCTCTGCCGAGGCCCTGGCCCTGTGTAGCCCAGCCGCCATGTGCATCCACTGTGGCTGTTCTCTTGTGGAGCCCTCACTCGGGGACCAGGGGGCCCTTCCTGTCTCCACCTTCCTTTGCAAAAATTTCAGGCCTGTTTGCCCAGTACCGTTGCCAGCTCCCTCACCTGCTGCCTCTAGGAACCTCTACCATTCCCAGTGCCAGGCCTCCAGTCCCATCCAAAGACCCTCCCGACACTCAGCTGCCTTCAGGCCAGAGCTCTATGGTGGCTGACCCCAGCGCCTGGGGCAGCAGATGCAGTCTGAAGCCCCGGGACACCCGGTTTCCTCGAACTACTGCCTGCTCACTGTGGCCCTGCACAGGAGCCTACCCGCCCACCCTGCACCACGCCTCACGTTTCTCCTGAGGTTGGCAATTAAAGCCAGGCCGGGTGAGATCAGAGCAATCAGTCTCCCTGCTCTCTGCACGCGAGGCTGCGGTGGGTGGACTGGGTACTTGGCCTACTCTCTGCACACTAGGGCCTTGACGGGAGGACTGGGTGCGCAGTCTGCTCTCTACCCAGTGGTTACAGGCAGAGATGCGGCAGGCAGACAGATGGCCCCCAGCTTGTTCCAGGCCCTGTGAGCACAGGGTTAAGCTGGATTCCTCCGGCTTCGGCCTGCCTTCAGGCTCTCCCGCAGGAGCCGCAGCTGCGCACTCACTGTGCTTCTCATTATGCAGCCTGTGTGGCTAATGGCCTGTGACAAAGGCGCCAGCTCCTGGCCGCGCCCGAGAGCCAATTAGACAACTCCCCTCTTCCTGTTGGCAGCGCAGCAGGAGAAAATTAAACACAATTTCAAATTGCCTCTGCTGAGGACCCCCGTTATAGTGACCCGTGCTCCGCCTCTGCCAAGCGGGCCCAGTTAGGTCCGGGTGACTGGCCCACTGACCACAGCCGCCTCAGCGCCAAGCCGTGCTGGGACGGAAAGCCCTGTGGCTTTCATCTGAAGCAAAGAACAAACGGCGCCAGGCAGCAGGATGTGAGGGAGAGCGCCCAGTACCTGGGTGGGCAGGGCAGCCTGGGTGTTGGGATCTCAGCAGGGGTGGGGCCAACACCCCAGGGCACCCTGTCTCAGACACACAGAGGCTCAGGGGGCAGAGGGTGCCACCACGCTTCCCGGCCAAACACATCCAGGTGACAGGTGGCCCCAACGGCCCCTCGGGTCTGGCTCCATGCCTCTGAGTGTGTGAGCTCCCATGCACAGCCACCCTCAGACCTCGTGCCTGCACGCATCCTTCCGGCTGGCCCAAGGGTCCAGAGCTGGGGTGCCCTCAGCCGGCCCGGTGCCCTCAGCCGGCCCGGTGGGGACTGGCTCCCATGCTTGCTCCACGGCCGCCCCTCCTATTTGGATGACTGCCTCCTGTGACCACAGCTCCCGGGAAGTAGAGAAGTTGCTAAGGGTCATCGAGGGGGAAGTCCCACTGCAGGTGGCCCTGGGGCCACCTGTTGGCCTTAAGTGCGACCCACTTGGCAGCAAGAGCCACTCAGTGTTCCCAGCATCAGTAGAGGATGTGCCACCAGCCCCTACCCAGGAGGCCCTCACTTGATGGGCTCACCAACTTCTGGGGTGGCTGGGTCCTAGGGCAGCCTGACCCTTTTGGGGTCCTGCCCACCTTCCCAGCTCCCTCGCTCTGTGACCCGGGAAGGCACCTCCTGGGGGTGTGGGTGCTGTGGTGCTCAGGGTGTCGGCCCCAGGTGGCCACGTGGTGCCGACTTCACCCCACTCGCCTTGCCCTGTGTTTAGGGCAGGATTCTGTCCCTGCACCTTTTCAGGGACCTGTCTCTGGATACAGCGGGGATACACTGGGGACACTGGAGGGCAGGTGTCCACGCACCCTGGCAACCACAGAGGTGCCGACCCCGGGGACTGATGCCCACAGACGGCCCACCCTCAAGGTGCCCGCAGACGGTCCGCCCTCAAGGTGCCCGCAGATGGTCTGCCCTCAAGGTGCCCGCAGACGGTCCGCCCTCAAGGTGCCCACAGACGGTCTGCCCTCAAGGTGCCCACAGACTCTGCAAGTCCCCAGCAGTGACCATGATCCTTCCCGCGGGCCCCACCTGTTTTAAACCAGCCGTCCGGAGTGAAGGCATTTTTCGTTGCTTCTGGCTGGTCCCAGTACTCCCGAAACACAGAGGGTCCCCTGACCAGGAGCTCCCCTTCCTTCTCCTCAAAGCCTGGGGTCACCTGCAGAAGGTGGAAGAGAACATGCATCGCAGGTAAACACACGTCTCTCTGTCGGGACCTCACAGAGCCCACCACAGGCCCCGCACGCCCACGTGCACCGTGCGCCGTCAGCTGGGCCACAACATGTGCTGTGCACTGTCAGCTGGGCCTCTTAGTGGGTGTCCTCATAGAGCTCACCACGGGCCCTGCACGTCCACATGCACCATGCCCCAGGAGCCGGCCCCCAAATCCACTGCACGCTGTCAGCTGAGCCCCCATGTCCACTGCGCATCATCGACCAGGCCCCCATATCCACTGTGCACTGTCAGCCGGGCCTCTTAGTCGGTGTCCTCATAGAGCTCACCACGGGCCCTGCACGTCCACGTGTACCATGCCCCAGGAGCTGGCCCCCACATCCACCGCACGTTGTCAGCTGGGCCCCCATGTCCACTGTGCGTCATCGACCAGGCCCCCAAATCCACTGTGCACTGTCAGCCGGGCCCCCACATCCACTGCACGCCATCGGCTGGAACCGCACATCCACTATATGCTGTCAGCCGGGCCCCCCATGCTTCCCACACCCTATTGGCCGGGCCCCTACATCCACTGTGTGCCATCAGCCGGGCCCCATATCTGCTGCATTCCGGTGGCTGGGATCCTTGCCCCCTGCCTTGTGGAGCCAGTGCCCCTGAGAAGTGTCTAGCTGGTGGGGTCTTGTCCGCTCTGTTGTCAGGGTTGAGTGGACGTGAGGGAGTGGATGCCTCAGACCCTGCTGCCGTGGAGAGCATCTCTGTGACGTGAGCCGACGTGTGTCTAAACAAGAGAGCTGTCCTGACTGCTGCCTCTGCTCGATGCTCAGCTGTGAGCTTCGGGACACAGTGTCAGTCCCAGGGTGCAGTGTAGTAAATTACTTAGTATGGCTTTTCTACCCATAAGTCATTGTAAACTCAGTGGTGGAATGAGCAACTGAGGAGCTGATTGTAAATGTTATCCACGTGGAGTATTTCTGTTGGGCATGGCACAAAACAATGTTCTGGGAGGTGCCCACTCTCTCTCAGATGCTTAGAGTTCTCATGCTATGATTGGCTAGTTTGACCACCCTGCCGGGCTCAAAAGGAGGCCTCCTGGAGGCAGAACTCTCTCTGACTGCTGGTTGAGGAAGACGTGCTGCTGAAAGAGACACGGGCTCCTGAGACACGCGTTGCTGGGAAAGAGATGCAAGAGACATGCATTGCTGAGTGAGACACCAAGGGACCAGCACTGCTGGGAAAGAGACTGAGAGAGACTCTTGGCTGAGGGACAGCGGGCTGGAGAGAGAGACTGAGCGTTCTTCCTGAACTTGAGTTGTAGCCTGGTGCTTCCCTAATAAACCCCATAATCTGTGAGTTCTGTGTAGCCACTGCAGTGAATTATCGAACCCAGGAGAGAGGTGGTGGGTGCTTTGGGAGGAACGGTTGGTGAAAGGGCTGGAGGGAGGCAGCATGTCTGGCCTTGCAGTAATAGGCCTTGGGTTACTGCTGGTAATCCTGTCTTTCCCTTGTAGGGTTAGAGGAGGTCAGAACATGTGGCCTCCTTGCCGTTTTTGCACAGGGTCAGAGCTGAACACAGAAGTGGCTTCACCAAGTGCTGACCGAGGAGGGAGCTCTAGGTCAGCAACTCGAGGGGCACCAGGCTGCCCTCGGCTGGACATGTTGCTCAAGGGCAGAGAGAGGCCTGACTCCCACCTGGGACGAAAAGCGAACAGCGCCAGACGCAGAAGAGCAGACAGACGTGCTCAGCTTCGCAGACATTGCCCTGTCGGGAGCCCAGGCAAGCGGGGTCCCGCCTCTCAGGTCTAGGCTGGGTTCTACCTCAGCTGCATCCTGAGCAGGATTCCACGTCGACCGCACCTTGAGGGGAGTAGGCAGGTGTGGCTGCAGCCATCTGGTGTCCCTGGTGTCCAACAAGGACGGTCTAGTGCTGGTATCTTGTGCTATTTGAGATGGTGAACATTAAAACAGCTGGCAGGCTGTCAGATCATGCTAGTCCACAGGTACTCCCGGGATGCACCATTCGGGTGGACTGGCCTTCCTGCATGTCCTGTCTGTGTGCAAGTGTGGGACTACACAGTGGAGCCAATGGGAAGACAGCCATCCATGCCTGTCCCTCACGGCCCCACCCAGATCCAACCACTGCAGAGAGCAGACCAGGTGGGCTGCCATTTTCTTTTTAAGTCCAAGAAAATCTTTGCTATCAGAAACTCACCAAGAATGCCTTCCTTTGCCCAGGGTTCAGGCTGAGCTCCAGGACTGCCTGAAAGAAGTGACTCATGGCAGAAGCACCATATCCACTCAAGGTCTGAACAGGTCCACTCTGCAAGGGCTCTAGCAGCTTCCCTGATGCAGCCGGTGCCAGAAAGCCTGCCGCACACCCGGAAAGACAGCCTGCTGCATGTCCAAAGGGAGAGCCCACTGCATTCCTGGAGGGTCTGCCACACACCCGGAGAGCCCACCACAGGCCTGGAGAGCCTGCCCCACGCCCGGAGAGCACACCACACGCTGAAGAGACAGCCTACTGCACGCCCGGAGAGCACACCGCACACCCGGAGAGATAGCCTACTGCACTCCCAGAGGTAGAGCCCACTGAATTCCCTGAGAGCCTGCTGCACACCCGGAGAGTATGCCGCACGCCTGGAGAGCCTGCCACACGCCCAGAGAGCACGCCACATGCCCAGAGAGCATGCCGCAAGCCCGGAGAGATAGCCTACCACATGCCCAGAGGGAGAGCCCACTGCATTCCTTAAGAGCCTGCCGCATACCCAAAGAGCCGGCCACACGCCTGGAGAGCCTGCCACATGCCCAGAGAGCACGTCACATGCCCAGAGAGCATGCCGCATGCTGGGAGAGCACGCTGCACGCCCGGAGAGACAGCCTACCACATGCCCAGAGGAAGAGCCCACTGCATTCCTTGAGAGCCCTCTGTACATCCAGGGACACAGCCTACAACACGCCCAGAGAGAGTGCCTAGCACATGGGAGCAAGGCCACTGTCCTCCTAAGCAGACAAACCCACAGGGGAGAGGCCACGTGAGCATGAAGGCTGAGCCACAAGAGATGAGGTCACCAGCCAAGGGGTGCCTGGGCCACCATGGTAGGCTGACCCAAGAGGGACCACATCTGCCTGCAGTCTGTTCCCAAATGAGGTCCAGTTAGGGTTCTGGCAGACACGTATTTCTGGGGACGTGGTTCAGTCACCACCCAGCTAGGAGCAGATGCCAACACCATGCTTCCCCTCTCACGCGGGAGTTAAGGGATGACCTGCTGACTCCGGGGCTGGGCACACGGCAGTCAACTGGACATGTAGGTCAAGGGTGCCCTCAGAGGTTGGGTCCAGGTGCAGCCCACCACCCTCCTCTCTGCTCCTCAGAATCCCAGGCCATACTCAGGCTGCCAGCACCATGGTGGACCTTCTCACCTGACAGCAACTGTGGCCAGGGTCTGAGGTTGTCGTCCCTGGAACGTGCTCATGGTGACACTCCACCCCCCTTACAAGCAGCCATGGCCCGGTGTCTGAATGTCGCAGTCCTTGGAATGTGCTTACGGCCTGAGAACCTCCACCATCAAGCTTACCGTTCCTTCCCACTTACTGTCAGCACGGATTTGCTGAGACAACCCAGGAACCCTGAACCCTGACACAAGCGTCCCGACTTCAACCCCAAAGCCGCTCAAGCCCTCTGCAGGACACTGCTGGGGAAGAAGTCAGGATGCAGGCCATGCCGGGGGGTGGGGCTGCATGAAGGACGGGGAACCATATCCGGGGGACATGGCAGGGGAGGTGGGCCCCGGCATCCACCTGAAGCCTCACCTCTGCCCAGGCTCCTTCTCAGCAGACCCCCAGCCTGAGCCTCCACTGTTGCCATGTGCCCTTCTGAATGGCCCTGGGGGCGGAGGGGCTCCCAGGAGGAGTCTGATCCCCAGGGAGGTGCTGGTGCTGGGCTGCAGGGCCCTTTGCGACCCCAGCACTGCCCCTCGCCCAGACCACAGGACCTGCACATCCTCGTCACCATGCATGGGTGACGCCCACAGGAACAAAGCCGAAGAACTGCTCAGAGGGGTCCCTCGAGTGTCCCTCAGAGGCCACCTGTGTGTTGCCTGTGTGGGGCTGGGCAAAGGGGCCAGGGGGGCATCTGATGTCAGTTTTCTGTTTGGCGCAGCGCTCCCTGACTGGCTTGTCCAGAGACGAAGGTGTCCAGCACACCCCACAAAACCAGATGCAGCAGCCTGCTGCTGCCCAGGGTGTCTGTGAGTACAGTGTCATGGCCCCAACCCGTGGGTCCCACGTGGCCCCTTGACAGATGGCAGTGGGGGTGTGGAGGGAGCAGAGGGAGGAGATACTGGTGGCTGGGGGAGGACAGGTGACAGCAGACCAGCCTGCTGCCCAAAGTGACAGCTTGCATATGGATGCAGAGCAAGGTAATTAATTTCAGGGGACAATAAAGAAAAGTTGCCACGTCCCCTGCCACTAGGTGCTCCCCGTCCCCTCCTTGGCCTCCTTATTAGAGGAGGCTGCTCTGTGGGATGGCCTAGGGGCAGGTAGCATCCCGTCTCCAGCGACAGCACTACCTGCTGACAGAGTCCTCCCCCCACTGGCTGGTGTCTGGTGCTTGTAAGTGAGCAATCCGGAAAACAAAAATATAAATAACGACCACTGTGCCTGCGCTCGCAGCGGGGCCAGCTGAGGGGCTGGCGGGAGACACGCACCAGGGCCAACGAGGTGCTCGGTGGCACGGAGACTGAGGGACAAGGTGCACAGTGGATGGAGGGCTGAGGAACAAGGCACTGTGGACCTGGGGGCTGAGGGACGAGGATGACTGGATGGGTGAATGGAGCTTGGGGGAGGGGTGGAGAGACAGAGGGATGAAGGGGGATGAGATGCAGGGAGATGGGTAGTACAGGGGGATGAGGGTTCCAGGGTCGAGAGGACGAGGGAGTGAGAGGATGGGGTGAGGGGATCGCCCACGATGCACAGCCTGGAGCAGAGTGGGCCAAGGAGAAGCTGTGGAGGGGAACATCTCCCCACTACACTCAGAACCTGCCCCAGCCGCAAGGAAGGTGCGGGCAAGTCTGCCATCGCCCGCTGTCACACTCTGAAAGCACAAGACATGGGGACCACACAGCAGAGGAGCTGAACCGCAGTGGAAGAGGGCAGCCCCGCACATGTCCTCCTATGGTCCCCCGGCCGGCCCCCGGGCCCACGTCTGCACACGGTCCCCTGGCCGGCCCCCGGGCCCACGTCTGCACACGGTCCCCCGGCTGGGCCCCGGGCCCATGTCTGCACACGGTCTCCGAGCCGGCCCCTTGACTCACATCTGCACACAATCCCTGAGCCAGCAGCTCCCCAATCCCCAAGCTGGCCCCCTGGCCCACGTCTGCACACGGTCCCCGAGCTGGCCTCCTGGTCCACGTCTGCATACGGTCCCAAGCCAGCCCCCTGGCCATGTCTGTGCACAGGCCTCTGAACTGCTGTACCTTGGTCTCCCTCTCATTTCCCTCTGCGTGCACGGTATAGGAGCAGACTCCCCTCTGCGGGCTCTCAGAGACAATGCGCACCTCCACTCCTGGCAGCGGGGTCCCCACAGAACCTGCAGGAAGGAGGACATAAGAGACAGGAAGAGAGAAGGGCGAAGGGGAGACGACAGCCCTTGGGCACCACGATGGGTGGGCTCCAGCATGCAGAGCAGGGGTGGGTGTGAGACACAGGCAGTGCAGCCAGCGAGGTGCATGGGCCCACCAAGATCAGCACAGTCAGTGAGCGTGGCACCTCGGCTGATGCGCACGAGGCCTGACTCTGCACCAGGACACCCTGCAGGCTCCACACTGGTTGCACGTCCTCAGACACCGCATCCGCCGTGGGACACCTCATCCGCCGTGGACACCTGTCTGTCACGGGACACTGTGGGCAGGTGCTGCAGTGTCTCCATGTCTACTATGGGCCTTGCTCCCTAGCCTCGCCTGACAACCCACACTTTGTGAGTTCAGGCCTGGAATCATGATGACAGGGAATCCACAGAAGGGCACAGTCCACATCAAAGGGGATCGTGCCAGAGGCTCCTGCCATGAGCAGTGCGGCTTTTCTTGGGGGTCGCTTTTGTCTGGAGAAGTGGTGTCCTGGTGTTGCCGCTGGTCAGCCCCCCGCCCCGTTGTTACGCTGGCTGCTACCAGGCCCTCTCCCAAACACGATGGTCTCCCTACGCTTGTGATGAGGCTGCCACTCTGGTCACAGCAGAAGCAAGGACCCGGGTGGGGCAGTTGGTGGTTTCAGGGACCCAAGGCTGACTGACTTCCTGCCCCCACCCCCCAGTGCAGAGGCCACGTCCCCTCAGCCATCAGGGAGCAGCCCTCCAGGCTCAGCCTCGCACAGACACCTCTCTGCAGTTTGGTCATAAGGACAAAGCCAAGGTTATTTCGCCACTGGTGACCTGGCACCTCCGAGAGCCCTGTTCCCGCCTGCTGAGCGGAATGCATGTGTGTCAATCACAGTGTGGCCTCACCCTGGGCCAGCTTGGGGGGCGAGGTGCTCACGTCCATGATGCACTGACTGCTCGGGAATCCCCCTCAAGGCCTGCTGGGAGCCCGGGAAGACGGTGAGCCGGGGGAGCACACCAGCGTGTACCGGAAATGGCAGAAAGACTGGGAGGGCAGAGCTCTGACACCATCCGTGTGGTCGTGTAACGTGACCTAAAGAGACACTGCGGTGCCTCCAGATCCATACCAACCCCTAAAGCAACCACCGAGACCAAAAAGATACACGTAACAAGCCAACAAAGGAGGTGAGATAGAACTACAAACACCCCTCAATTAACACAAAAGAAGGCAGAAAAAGAAGACAACAGAACAAAGAGCAAACAGAAAACAACACAAGATGTTAGACTGGATTCAACCACAACGATAATCACGTGGAAACGGCCTGAATGCCAGTGACACCACAGAGACTGTCATCCTGGGTTTGAAAAAATTAAAGACTTAAGTACGTGCCACCTAAAAAAGCCACTTAAAATATAAAGGCAGGTTACAAAGCAGAGGCTGGGAAGGGACACAAGGTGAACACTCCCCAGGAGATGTGGAATGGCCACATTGACACAGATAAAGCAGGTCGGAGGGCAGAGGAACAGGGGCCTTCGGAATGACAAATACAAGCCTAAGCGTTCACACAGCCAGTGACAGAGCGTCCAGGTTTGTGGAGCAAACTGACAGAACTGAAAGAAGAGACACAAATCACAGCTGCATCCAGATTTCACTAACCCTGGGGGAACCTGTGAAGATGACGGCCTTGGAGACCCTGTGGGCAGTTCCACTCTGTCCTCTAGGGGAGCTGTGGGTCAGAATGGACTCCACGGCAGTGGGTGTGGTTTGGGCTTTGCTTCTGTGAAGACTGACAGCCTTGGAGACCCTGTGGGCAGTTCCACTCTGTCCTCTAGGGGTGCTGTGGGTCAGAATGGACTCCACAGCAGTGGGTATGGTTTCGGCTTTGCTAAAGCATTTGACTGCTAACCAGAAGTCTGGCGGTTCAACCCCCCCGGCCATTCTCCGGAAGGAAAACTGGGCAATCTACTTCTGTAGAGATACTGCCTCAGAAAGCCAAGGAGGGGTTGCTATGAGTTGGGATCAATTCGACGGCAGTGAGCTTGGTTTCTGTGCAGATTGACAGTCATGGAGACCTTGTGGGGCAGTTCCACTCTCTCCTCTATGGGCACTGTGGTTCAGAATGGACTCAGCAGCACCCACCAACTCTGAATCATTGATGAAACAAGTTGGCAGAAAGTCAGTGAAGACAGAGGAGACTTGGGCTGCACTATCAAATACCTGGATCTAATGGGCATTTACAGAACATCTGTCAACAACATCAGAATTCACATTCTTTAGAGTACACACAGAACATTTACCAAAACAGATTCTACTCTGGGATATGGAAAAAGTCATGATGAATTTATCATTACTCATACCATACAAAGCATGTTCTCTGCACACAGGGATTAAACTAAAAATCAATAAAACAGGTCTGGAAAACTCCCCAAACATTAGACAACAAACAGCAACCTATGGATCCAAGAAGAAATGGGAGGGAACAGAAAGTTTTGAATGAAATAAAAACAAAATCTCAACCTCCATTTGAGAAAGAGCTAAAGCTGTGCTTAAGATAAATTTACAACACCCAAACCTAGTGCCACTGAGTCAATTCCTACTCACAGCGACCCCACTGGGTTTCCAAGGCTGTACATCTTTACAGAAGCAGACTGTCCTGTCTTTCTTCCATGGAGCAGCTGGTGTGTTCGAACCAATGACCTTTTAGTTAGCAGCTTTGACCACTGCACCAACAAAGCTCCTTATTTATAGCATCAAGTGCCCATATTAAAATAGAAAAACAGCTTCAAATCACTGGTGCTCACAAGGAATGCTGACTGTACTGTGGAACACCAGAACCAAAATCAAATCTGTCCTGGGAGACGTACAGCCACAAGAAGCCTTAGAGAGATGGCAAGACTTTGTCTCAAGTACTTCGGACCTGTTATCAGGGCGACTAGGCCCTAGGGAAGGGCACCGTGCTCGGAAGGGTACAGCGTCCGTGACAAAGGGGAAGACCCTCAACCAGAGAGACTAACAATGTGGCCGTGACAACGGGCTCACACAGCAACGACCGTGAGGCTGCTACGGGACCAGGCAGGTCTCATCCTACGGTTCACAGGTCGCTACTGAGCTGGACCTGACGGGGTGGCCGCGAGAACGGGCTCACACACAGCAAGGACCGTGAGGCTGCTGCGGGACCAGGCAGGTCTCGTCCTGCGGTTCACAGGTCGCTACTGAGCCGGAACTGATGGGCCACGAGAACGGGCTCACACAGCAACGACCGTGAGGCTGCTGAGGGACCAGGCAGGTCTCGTCCTACAGTTCACAGGTCGCTACCAAGCTGGACCTGACTTGACGTATCTCACAACAGTAACAACAAGGCTTCTGTCCCAAGACCAAAAAAGGCAAGCCAACAAAAGCCCAGAGAAACACAAGAATGGGAATCAGAGAAAAAACCAATTAAATGGAAATAAAAGAGAAAAGAAAGGAACCAAAATCCATTTGAGAATATTAATCAAACCGCTAAACTCTGCCAGACTGATCAGGAGAAAAAGAAAGAGGACACAAACCATCAATGCTGTGGATAAGAGAGGAGCCGTCACTACAGTTTCTACAGGTGTTACAAAGGAGTATCACCAAGTACTTTGAAGCAACGCATTTGACAGCTTAAGGGAAACAGCCACAATCCTTGAAACACATAAGCTATCTGAGGTTGCTCAAGAGGAAAATACCATGAAAAACCCCATATTCACTAAAAGAATTGAATGTGTAGTTAAATCACCAAGCCTGGGTGGTTACAGGAAGAGAGCAGGCTAATTCCACATAAACTCTTCCCAGCACATTGTCTGAGGCAAGTTTTACCCTGACAGCAATACCAGGCAAGAACACTCCCAGAATACAGTCCAATATCCCTCTTCAACAAAGACACAAACATTTCTACCAAAAGCAACAGCAAATTTAAATTCAACAACTAATTAACAGCACATCACATCATAATCAAAGGGGGCTTATGCCCAGAACGCGAGAGTGCTTCTACGTTTCAAAAATCAACAACGTAATTCGCCATTTCAAGACAAAAAAAAAAAAAATTTAAATTTAGAATTAACATTTGACAAACTCAACATACAATCATGATTTAAAGAAAAAAAAAGTGTCAGAAGATGAGAATTCCTCAAGCTGATGAAAGGCACTGGCCAGTCTGCAGCTAGCTTCACGCTTAACAATGGGAGGCTGAGCCCTTCCCCTGAAGACCACGGTGTGCCCCTGCTCACTCCTCCTGGCCTCCTACTGGACACGAGCCAGGGCATCAAGGCAAGAAAAACAAAGAAAAGGCACACAGACTGGAAAGAAGAAGTAAAATGGTCTATTTGAAGTTGGCCGGATTACCTACACAGAAAATTCCAAGTAAACTATACAAAGTTACTAGAACTAATAAGTAAGTTTAGCAAAGTTACAGGCTATTAGGTCAACAACCAAAAATTAGTGGGATTACTAACAACAGTCTGATACAAATTTTAAAGTTGCGTTTACAATACATCCAACACCATTACTTAGGCATAAATCTAACAAAACATGTAAAATCTGTATTCTACAAATGAGAAAACACTGATAGACTGAATTTTAAAAGACCTAACTAAATGAATAAACATTATGCATTAATTAATCAAAAGTTAATACTGTTGTCAATTCTTCCCAAAGTGATCCACAGATTTAAGGTAATTCCAATCAAGATCCTAAAAAAAACCAAACTCACTGCTGTCGAGTCAGATCTGACTCATAGCAACTCCTCCTTGCGTTTCCAAGGCCATATCACTACGGAAGTAGATTGCCCAACCTTCCTTCTGAGGAGTGGCTAGTGGTCTGAACCGCCAGCCTTCTGGTTAGCAGTTAAGTGCCTTAGGCACTACACCACCAGAGCTCCGATCAAAATCCTAGGAAGATATTTTTTTTTTAAAATAGAAATCAACAAGAAGATTCTTCACATGTACGGAGAGGCAAAGGGGAAGAATCATCAAAA